GCACAGGCAGCTGCGCCGGCCGCGGCCCGGACGGAGCTTGATGGGAAGCTGTGTTCAAGCAGGTTCCTGTGCAATATGATCGAGGGCATGGGCTTCGTCGACGAGGTCGAAGATGAGGACAAGGTCGAGAAGATGGGCAGCAAGACCGCTCTCCACGTGGAGTCCAGCTGCCCGAGAGACAAGCGCCACACGGGGGGGGCAGGCGAGCCGCCGAGGCGAGCCCGCCAGAGCTCAGCGCCGATTTGGGATCAGCGCTCATGTGCCACTCGTTCGTTGCCGTACCAGTGAGCTGGGAAAAATGGTCTGGCGGCTCCCTAAACAGCGATGTTGTCCCTTCTCGCCTCGGGCCCCTTCATGGCTCCCCCTTGTCGGGTCCGGGGCCCGGGGCCCCGGCAGGGTTCTTCTCCCGCTCGTCCTCGTGCTGTTTAGGGTATCTTTTGGGGGCGCAGTCTCGCTGCGCGATGTAGTGCGCAGCTGTGTATATCGGAGGTTGGGGGGTGAGATCGCAGTGTAACGGAGTCCCCCCACCGGGAAATCGAGTTTCGAGTTCGTGCTCGTGCCGTGCGTGCGGGCGAGGCGAAGCTGCGTGGGCCAGCGAGAGGAATTCACCCTGCTGTCGCTAGGGGTCCGCCAACACAAATGTTTCCCCCCCGGCCTTGTCAAGCGGTAGCCTGCGTTGTCCCGTCGGTTGCCCGCCGGTTACTCATCATGGTTGTTCATCAGGATTGCTCATCATGGTTGCTCATCATTGTCCCGCTGGTTGCTCATCATGGTTGTTCATCATTGGCCCGCCGGTTGCTCATCATGGTTGCTCATCATGGTTGCTCATCATGGTTGCTCATCATTGTCCCGCTGGTTGCTCATCATGGTTGCTCATCATTGTCCTGCCAGTTGCTCATCATGGTTGCTCATCATGGTTGTTCATCATTGTCCCGCCGGTTGCTCATCATGGTTGTTCATCATTGTCCCGTTGGTTGCCCAACATGGTTGCCCATCATGGTTGCCCATCATGGTTGCTCATCATCACGGGCCGAGAGCCGCACGACGAGCGTGTGTACGCCGAGTTCAACAAGCTCTTGCCGCCCGGTGGCATGAAGGCGTTCGTTCAGAGCCACCCGGAATTCGCATGGCGCCCCAGGGACCCGCGCCAGCCTCACAAATGCATGGTCATCACGTGGGCGCTTCCAGTGCAGGCCAACACGGCACCAGGCGCTGCCACTGCATCTGGCAGCGGTGCCCCTGCTGAGCAAGTGGCACCGCCCGCCACAAACAGCCAGTCGTCTCCACCGACGCTGGGCGGAGGGTGCTCGTCGACGCCAGGCACTGCCAGCGTGACTCCCAAGCCAGGATAGGAGAGGTCCGGACGCACGCACCAGGCACCGCCAGTGCACCCATCGTCGACTGGGACGTCGTGGGCTGAGTGCCGCGTCGCGCAGCGGCAAACCGAACGACACAAGTCGCCCAAGCGAAGGAACAAACAAAATCCGCCACGCCATCCACACCATCATCGCCCATCAGCACCACGTTCATCACAGTTGTCGTCGTGAGCCTCCCCCCTCCCCCCACCCCCCCACAACTTCCTTATCGCCCGCAGGGTGGTCGTATAGGTAAATTGTGTCGTTTGCGGCCTGAGCGTCTTGGCTCTTGTCTCAGCGTGAGCACTGTTTGGGAAGGGCCTGCAGGGCCGCGATCAGCACGTGCCCGAGAGCGAAACCCCGAGGGCGAAACTGTGACCTTCGGGGTGGATCTCGTGACCAGGGCCGTGATATCTCCCCAGATATCATGGCCCCCCGTTGTATGTCATCACGGCGCCCAGTTCCCTCCCTTGGACGCCCCACTCTTCGACCTCCCTCGCAGCTCTGGGAGCAACGTGTGCTGCTCCTGCAATGGGAACTTTTCGGCGACGGTTCGCGCGGACTCCAGTGGGGACCCATGCCAAGAAACACCCTGCTTGCCTCCAGGGTGCCCTGGGTTTTGATGGTTCTGCGATGGGAAGCGTGATGTTCCCACACCAAAAGTCAGTGGACTTCCTGGGGTCTCAGGGTTGGGTTTCTTGTGGAAGGTTTCTTGTGGACTGGCCTCCATTGTACGGTCAGGGCAGCGTGAGGGGGTGATGGGATCATGGGGCCGCGCATCGACTTCCAATCGCCCATTGACCGCCGAGAACGGAAAACCTGAAAGACCGCCTCGCTCAGGCGCGGGCGACTTCGCTATCAGGGGCCTATCTCCGATTTGTGGGCGATGTGTCGCCAGTTGCAGGTCGATGCTCCCGCGCTGAGCTGGTCACCCCTGAGCGTTGCCCGTCACCCGCTCCCCTCTCGGAGCGACTTGGGGTGGCCCTGCTCCGGGGGCTTTTCGGCAGGGATTTGCGCGGACTGTGGTCATGAGTTTTTTGGCGTGTCGCGCCGCCGGTTCTGGCCCAGCACTCTTGAACAGAAGTTCGTGACCGTCGGTTTGTTTGCCGTCCTTGTTGAGCGCCGCCGTTCTTATTGTTCGGGCCGTCCTCAGTCATACAGGTGTTGGCCTATTGGTCCACACGCGTGCAAGTTCAGAAAAAACAGACGGCAAGAAGGTTCAGCAAGCATCAATTTTCTCGCGAAGAACGTCGCAGTTCTTCTCATCGTGTTTGGCCGTGGGGGGCGTCTGATACACGTGCAAATACATGCCCTCAACGCACAGACTTTGTTCAGCGGCGCATTCGGCTCAGGCGAATATAGCAAACCACTCAGCTGGATGCAACCATGTGAGATTTGACTGTGGCGTCATTGGCGCACTGCTTACGTCATGCAGGGCTTTCGCTGGCAAGCGCACAAGTAGCCAATCTCAGATTAGATAGTGGCCCACAGATGTGAAGACGACATCTGTATGCGTTCGTGCGTGTGTCATTGCAGAAGACAATTCGCTCGTGCTCATCTGTAATGCCACCGCGGCTCCCAAGGACCTCGCGAAGTTGCCGTGGCCAGCGCCACTGCCGTCGAAGGTGACGACTCCGACAGCGACTCGGACAGAGAGACTGCATTGCAGGCCAGCAGAGCAAATGGATAATAGAGAATACGGAGCAGGAGGGAAGGACTAATTGCCAGCGAAAAGGAATACACGGGCAACATCCATGTCGACGAAAGGCTCTCAGTCTCTGCTTTTTGTATCTCGAGCTTCTGCAGTGCAGAAGGGGCTACGAGTCGCTATGGAACGCAGAGATGGCCCTAAGCCAATGATAGACCGGAGTCTGACGTGCAAACATCGTCTTCCCTCTACCAAGTGCAGCATGGTATTTGCCTCTTGCCTCCTGTTGCTGCTCCTGGAAACCATCACTGCCATCATGGTCATCATCCTCCTCGCCTTCTCCCTCTCAATCCCCTCCTCCTCCTCATCATCATCAGCATCATCAGCATCATCATCATCATCATCATCATCATCAGCATCATCATCATCATCATCATCATCAGCATCATCATCATCATCATTTTCATCATCCTCATCCTCATCATCCTCATCATCTTCTGCCTCCTTCTCCTACTCTTCCTCCTCCTGCTCCTCCTCTTCTTCCTCCTCTTTTTCCCGTTCTCTTTCTCCTCCTGTTTGTTTTCTTGCTCCCCTCCTCGGGTGCATGCTCATCTGGCCCTCGTTCTCGTCCTGCTCGTCTTGTCCTTTTCTCCTGGTCCTGCGCCCGCTTCTCCTCCGCCTGACACTTCCCAATCACCCTGCTGAGTATGTTCTTCCTTTCCTTTTCGGTGCTTTTCGTCGTTCTCCTCCTGCCCATTTCAAGATTCACCCAACTGCCACCCGTAACCCCTAATGTATCTGGTCTGTTGCTGGAGAGCTTACGTCGCTAGTTACCTGTCGCTTCCGATAAGGGTCTCGTGAGCCTTTGGATGTTAGTCTAGTTCGGGGATTCCGCTGGGTTACGGGCACGTCAGTCAGTTAGCTAGTCTTCCATCAACCCCTCTCCTCCGCCGCCTTATCCTGTTCGTGGCGTGGTCGCCCCAGGGATCTTCAACCCACCCGTGAGGCCGGTTATGTTTTTATCCCGATTTGTTTTGATGGACCCGATTTGATCGTACGCAGTTGCATATCTTTCTCCGGCACCCCCGCGCCGACCTACATGGTCTGATCGGGTTCCGTTTTTGCCGTTTCCTCTCGTCCATTGCTCTTCCGCTTGGTGCCTGCACTGGCTTTCGGTGCAGCCCACCGCTCGCTTTGACCTGCGCCCGACCGTCTCGCACACCTTGGCCCCCGCGGACTTTGAATATTCTGGTGGACCTCGAAGAATAGCATCGAAATGCCGCCACGACCTCCTGGCGACGCCCCGATCTGAAGGATAGCACACAGTGGCGCACAAACAAGGCCTCCAACGATTCGAGCAACCTGCAACGCAAGGCGGAGGTCGAGGTTGTGTGCCCAATGTGCGATGCCTGGCTGCCGTTTCGTGTTATTGCATCGTCAATACACCGTCCAGGGCGCACGCGGTCGGTCTCCAGGAAGCGGTCCAGAGTTCTAGGTCTTGCGTATTGGAAAAGTTTGGCGTCTAATGTCTGGGCAAGGCACATCCGCAGGCGATTTTTCTCCCCCAATCCCCGAGCTCCGCTCGAAAAGTTTAGCCGCTCAGAGAATGGGGGGAACTCCGAGATGCCCCCCAAGGGGCTATTCAGACGCACCGCTATCGAGGATGGATGCCCCCCCACCCATCGTACATCGCAGCGGCAGTCAAAGGAGGAGGAGAAGGTATCCTTACCCCGGATCGTTGGACACCACATTTTTAGGTCGAGATCGGTAGCGACCGATCGGCACTCCAAATCGGTCGCGACCGATCGCGACCGATCCTAAAATCGGGCGTGACTGGTCGCCACCACGATTGATACCGAAATTCGAAGCACAATCAATAGCGACCGTTCTCGTCGGGACCGATGCTTTCCAGTATCCACTGATCAGGGACCGCTACCAGCGCCTCGGCTTCCCGTTTGGGGGCCTCCTGGGAGCCGGTCGACGCGACGGCGGTCGAGATGGTGGATGTGGCAGCGGCGGCGGGCGCGGCGGTGGCGGAGGCTGCACCTGCCCCGTCCGTGCTGGCGGTCGACGATGGGGTCGCGGAGGGCGCGGGCGCGGTCGCCCTGCCTTGGCCTCTGGTGGACGACGCCTGGGCGGACGAGCTCCCCGCGCTGCCTGGTGGGCGGATGGCGGCAGACGCGGCCGACGCGGGCGGGCTGGTGCTCCCGGCGCGGGTGAGGGCGGAAGTCGCTGCAGCGAACGCGGCGCACGACACGCGCCGCATCACCGCCATCGTCAAGGAGGCCGCCGGCTCGGCGTGGGGTGGGCGCCGTACGCACCCACCCTGCGCTTACGGTGCTCGTCTTCAGCGTGCACCTGGCGGCGCCCCTCTGAGGCGCCGCCCTCCATGGTTTAGCGGCTAGGGTCCGCTTCGGCGGATGCTAGACCTTGACTGTCCCTCTGTCCCACTGGCCCCCCGGGAGCCCAGCGTCGCCACGGCTGGATTCGCGTCGAAATCCTGGTCGCTAGCGCGCCACAAGAGAGATCCGGGGAGCAGAGGTACCGGCCCCTTTTGATTCCCCCCCGGCGGGAGCAGCTGAAGGAGGAGGGGTTGGAGGGAGGTGTACTGTATGGGTTGTAACCTCATCCCCTTGCGGTGCTGCCGCGGGCAAGGCTACGCTGCGTTCTGCTGGGCCACCACGACTGCACTGCAGCCTCATTGCGTGCCTTTTCATCTGCACCTGTCAGCGGCATGCTTTTGTTGCCTCCGTATATACCTAAGTCGTTGTAGCACTGCCGCGCTCTCAACGCTGCAATCATGGCACCTGGGACCCGCCCGACCCCACAGGCTGGAGGGCGGAGGGCCGCGCAGGCGCGCGCGGTGGCGAGTCGGGCACGCCCGAGCCCACGCACGCCCTGGCACGTCAGGCCTCGCGGCGCGCTTCTCCGAAGGCCCGGCGCCCGCCGTGGAAGCGTTGGGCGCCGAGCACACTGCGCCACCGCTGCCGGGGCGGCGGCGGGCAGGGAGAAACACAGGAGGAAGGGCATGCCGATACCAGTAAGTACCCTTGCCTCGTTTTCGTCTTCGTCTCTTCTGGGCATGTGAAGGAAGAGTCACCGATGCCGCTACTTTCGCGTCGTCTTCGCCACGGCTGGGTTCGCCTCGTCGCCGCGGCTGGGTCCGCCTGGAAATGCCGACCAGGAGACCCCGCCGGAAAGGTCCCGGGAGCAGCAGTATCGGTATTTTTCTGGTTCCCCCAGAGACGAGGGCCGCACATGCCGCCGGCGTTGGAAGATCATACGACACACTATTCAGAAGCAGAGGGGGGCGGCTTGCCGCTGTCTGCCTGATCCCGCGCGCTCGCCACGCCGCAGAGGGCGGGCGATGCCTGAGATTCCCTTTCAGGCCCGCTGGGGCCGCCTGGTTTGAGCCATTCCGGAGAGTCGACTTTCAAGTCGCGCATGTCCCTTTACTTGAGGAGTATTCAAAATTTGTTTTAAGTTATAGTATGGTGACAATTTTCTTTCATTTTTTGGCTACGTGTGAATCTGCTTGGACAAGATTTTGTTTTTCTCAAAAATCCGCCTGTCGGAGGACATGCCCGACCTAAAAGTCTACTTCTTCGGAGTGCATCCGTGCGGTGTTGATGTGGGCCAGGGGCGCCGGGAGCAAGGCCGTTCCTCCGAGGAGGAGTCGCTTGCCCTCGGCGGTGTCGATCGCAGCGGCACCGTGTGTGCCGATGTCTGTTGCTGCATCGGGTTTTTGTTTCCACTCACCGGCATCCTCCTCCTGTTTTTTGGCATGGATTCCGACGTGTCTTCGAGCCGCGAACCCACGGGCTTCCACGGGCGCCAACTGTCCGGTCACAGGTTATGGACAAGTTTTGTGGTCGTGTATTTGGACTTTCCCCTTGCCCCCCCCCCCTTCCTTGTCTTGGGCTCCGCGTCCGCGCATCGCTGGCCTAGTGCTGCCGCGCCCGCCGAACGCTGGCGCGCGCGCGTTGCATTGAGTAGCCCCTCTTGTTCCCTTCCCTCTTGTCCTCCAAACCAGTGCCTGAGCGTGTCTTCCTGCCGTTTGTTTGTCCTGCGCGTTCGTCGAGCACGGGCCGAGACGATGTTTGTACAGCTTGGTCGATGCACATTGAGTTGTGCGCGGGCCCCATGGCTGCGCATGAAGCTGGCGGTAGTTCGGGGGAGGCTGCGGACGGAGAAGCGACACGGACGGACCACCGACTGCAAATCCTGGTCGCCCTGGGATTTAGCTCTTGGGGAGCTACGAGGGCTTCAGATTCGAAGCCGGCAGGCAAAGGTGGGCCAGTTTATTTTTCGGCTGCTGGGCTTTCAGCGTCGCAGCGCCTCTTGCGAATTTGCAGCGAGTCTGGGAGGGGCGACCCTACTCGTTCCTGATAAGCCTGCCGCAAGCCTTGGCGCAGCTTCTTCGCAGCGGTGTTTTGTTTTCGCACTTCGTATTTCAAGCTTGCGAGCTTGCCGGCCCTCCTATCGAGCTTCCTTAAAAGCGTCTCGCATAAGTTTTCAGGCGAAACTGATGGCTTTTGCCGGCACAAGGCTGCTCCGCGATCCGCCTTTGGGAAACCACATTTCAAACAAATGCCGCCCGCGCTCTTACGGCGGCGAGCCCCAAGCTGGCGGTCCGCAGCCCTGGGCGCGCAGAGCGCGCTCTGCACACCAGCGGCCGGCCTGCCGCAGTGCCTCCAGGAGGCTGCGGTGCGTCCAGATCATTGGATACCATATATATATATATATATATGTTTATATATATATATATATATATATATATATTGGAATGGGTAGCGACCGATCGGCACTCCAAATCGATCGCGACCGAATCGGTCGCGACCGATCGCGACCGATCCTAAAATCGGTCCTGACCGTTGGCCACCGATTGCGTCCGATCGGTCGCGATCGACCGGTCGCGATTGATTTTGAAGCAAATCGGTCGCAACCGACACCGAAATTTGAAGCACAATCGGTAGCGACCGTTCTCGTCGGTCGCCACTGGAGACTTCCAGTACCCAATTATTTGGGGCAGTCTTGACATCTGGCCGGGCGGCCAGAGCCACCAGATCTCAGAGATGCTCGACTTATGACACCCAATTTTCGGGTGTTGCTAGAAGTGCCCCCGGCCCAAAGGCGCCCCTAGGATTTCCAGGGAGGCCCCCAAGGCCTCCAGAGCACACACACCCTCGAGGCCCGGAAGACCCCAGGAGCTCCAGAGTGGAGCGGCGAAGCTGGGAGGCACCTTGGGCCAGGGGCACCTTAAGCAAACTCGATATTTCATTCTCGTCCTGGCTTTAGGTTGGGCATGACCTCTTACAGGCGGGTCTTGGAAGAAAAATGAAACATAGTCCACACAGATTGCAAACATATGCGAAAATAGTCGACAAATCGTCCACCGACTATTTTGTCGACCCTTTCCGAATATTCCATCGATAGAGAGACGTGCCCGACTTCATCCTGGCTTCGTCTCATGCAGCCTTGGCGGCACCTCTCCGCCCATAGGCCTTCGAGCGCCGGGCCGCTGCCCTCATGGACATGCTCCCGCACCGCGCGGCCCCGGCGCAGTGGAGGGCGCCGGCGGACGAGGAGGCGGGCCCGCGGGCAGCGGGCCGCGGGGCGAGCTTCGTGGGCGTCCCAAGAGCTTTGCATCGCTCGGACGTGTGCATTTGTTTCTCGGCGAGGGCCATGCAGGGGCAGACTGGAGCATCTTGCGAAGAAAAACAAAGGCACGACATCGGACCGATTGTGACATCGGACAACGCACGGGGAAGGGACGTGCGCGATGGCGAGAGAGGTGGGGGGTTCGCCAAGCATGGCCCGAGGCATGTGTGCGGGCGAGGGGGGAACCATCGGCCACGCGCAGAGGGGGGGGGGGGGAGGGAGGGGAGGGCTGCTTAGAAGCACCCCTGCTTCTCAGAAGGCGCGGGCCTTGTCTGTAGATGTAAGGCCAAACGCCTTCGAAGTAAGAAGCAGCGTCCTCCTAAGAGGCCCTCCCCCCTCCGCCTACCCCTTCGTGCGCGCCGGCATGCGAGGGGGGAACCAGGGGACGTCTTGAGAGAAGAAGAAAGGCCATGAGATCTGGCTCCGCCGAGCATTTCGGGTAGATAGTAAGTCACGGGAGCTTCCGCTCGTTTTGGATTGAGTGCGAATCGGCGAGTCTCACGCGGCAGTGCCCAACAGCGATTAATGGCATCCAACAGCGCCCAGTAGCGCCGACTAGCCGTCAAATGGCGTTCAAATAGCGCGCAAATAGCGACCACTAGCGCCCCAGCGCCATGTGAAGGAGATGCGTTATGTCTGCTTTGCACGCGATTGAACGCGCTATTGGGCGCCATGGGGACGTTCAAAAGCTGCCGTGAGTTGCTTCCTAAGTTCCCATTCGCGGCGGCGGCGACGGACCCCAGACATCCAGAGCTTCGAGCAAAGGTCAAGATAGCTTGTTTTCGTCGTGTTTGGCCTGTCGGGGGCCACTCATAGGCCTCCCAGATGGGGGTCAGAGTAGATGGGGTCGGAGGATCGCGCCGCACCGGCGATGCATCGGCCATGCGGCTCGAGGTGGAGCTCGATTTGTTTCTCTGCATCCATGCTGACGTCGCCGATACATCGCCGAAGTCGCCGATGCATCGCCGATGCATCGGCGATACATCGGCGATACGGCGCGACCTCCGACCCCGATCTAGGAGGCCTCTAGGCATCCAGAGCCTTGAACACATGAAGACAGAGGCTTCCTTATTCGCCGTTTTCGGCCTGCGGGGGGCCACGCCGGGCCCCGGGACGGTCTGCAGAGCTATCCACTGGACGAGAAGCCAGCCTGTTGGGAAAGTGCCGAGCTTTCCGAAGACCCCGTGTAACAGAAATCAAGACGTCGGATTTCTGCGACGTTTCCGTGTCGGTTCCTCCCTCGGGGATGCGTTCCAGCGTTATTGCGCCTCGCCCAGGGCGCTCCGGGTGATGCCCCGAACGGCCGCCAGAAATCCAGGTAGTGCCCCGCCCGCCGCGTGATCTTGATGACGGCAGGTTTGCTCGTTCATCGCAGGCGAGAAATTGCATAAACAGAAATTCTCGGAGGTCCGAAAGTTTAGGTCTATGCAGTGTTCTGTTCCTCTCGGGCTGCACCCCGAACGGCTGCTGCAGACCCAGGTAGCGCCCCGAAAGCCAAGTGACCTTGATGACGTCAGATTTGCTAGATCAGGTACTGCCGCCTTGCCAGATCGGTCACTGCCGCCTTGCTGGATCTGGCGTTGCTGTTTTGTTGGATCACCTTAAGCATACATTCGAAACCGATGGTAAGGATGGGTAGCCTTCCCAAGGGTACCCTTGTATCCATGCCTCTTTGGTCCATCCTTGACTACTTTCGCTGACCCGCCGCGCTCGAAGAAGCTGCAACACGGGCGTCCAAGGGGCT